CCCAGCAGGGCCCTTAGGGACACTGCAGGCTAGAGGGCTCAGAGTGAGCTCTTAGGGGTCACTTTTTAGTTAGGGATTGCCAAGCAGTTGACAAAGGGGGACCCTTGGGCTAGATGAGGGCAGGGAACTCACGTCTTAGCTTCAGAATGCCGACATTCACCTACAGTATAGTACACATCTTGGGAAAAGTTACAAACAGCTGACACTTTCTAGGGTACCATTACAGCCTCCATGGTCTCCAGAAGAACTCCGCCAGGAGCAAGATACTGCTGTTTACGCGGACCTTATTGTGGATGGGATACCCATATCTGCTTCACTACAAACGAGAATTCAGGAAGCTCAAGAAGCTGATCCCTCTTGCCAAAAGATAAAGAAAATACTGCTTGGAAGGCTGGCCTCAACTAAGATTCAAGGACAGTGAACTGGCAAAGTACCTACAAGAGAGACCCAATCTTCATGTTGTCAGCAATTTAGTTATGTTCAACAACAGAGTACTGATACCTTCAACACTATGTCAGGAAATCCTAGAGAAGATTCATGATGCTCACCAGGGCATTATCAAATGTCAAACCAGGGCTCACCAGACAGTTTGGTGGCCCTCCATCATACAGAACTGGGTGGTCAGTTGTAAGGTTTGAGCTCAACACCAACCAGTCCACATGGAGCCATGCCTTATAAGTGATCATCCGTGGCAGATGTTGGGAGGCAATTTATTTGCCTGGAAGGGTTGTTTACCTCGTTGCTATTATTATTCCCATTACTTGGAGATGGTACAATTACAGAGCACCACAACAGAGAGTTATAATGGCAATGGAGAGTATATATGCACGCCATGGCATACCCTCTGTTTTAAGAACTGATAATGGCCCACAATTTTCTGGACCTGTGTTTAAGCAGTTTGCAACCCAGTATGACTTTCAGCATGTCACCAGCAGTCCACATTTCCCCCGTAGTAATGGAGAAGCAGAATGTGTGGTGCGGACCGTGAAGAATTTGGTCCAGAAGAATGAAGAGCTCTAGAAGGCACTCTTGATCTACCACTGAACGCCACTGGAGCATCGGTGGAGTTTGGCTGCGTTGCTTATGAGTTATCGACTCCGTACAACCCTACCAAGCAAGATAAATGAAGTCATTTCCAAAACTTGTCAATCCACAGGAATTTAATGAGCGAGACAAGCAGATAAAGGACCATCAGAGACGGAACTATAACACCAGGCATGCTTCAAGACATGTATCTCTCTTTCCCCACAGCAGGAAGTTTGGATCCCAGCTCCACGGGTCCAAGGCACCATCCAGGCTAGGGCAGATACCCCTCATTTATATTGGGTGGAGACATCTAGTGGTCTTCTCTGTAGGAATCAAGAACATCTCCATCATATCCCACCTGTTTATCATACTAGGTCTGGGCGTGCCTCAGTTCCACCGAAGAGACTAGACCTGGTGAATTAGTCTGGTCTAAACAAATAGACTTACCAATGTTTCTGCTTTGCTTAGGTTACTTTTGTACCTAAGTGTGTATCAAGTTTTCCTCTGAGAAAGGGGGATTTAGTAGTAAGGTTTAACTCCCTTACTAAAGAGTGATGTCATTCACAGGAAGAGGTCAGTAGACCATTTTGGGTTCAGGAATTAGTTGTTACAATAAAGGCTTAATGAGAACAAGGAGTCTCTCTGCTTCTTCCCAAGATCCAGAATAACACACTAACCTAGTCTCATCTGCCTTGGATTATGCAGTGCCCTGTTAGCTGCCTCTGCCTTGTGTCTGGTTCCTGGTGGATGCCTGAGGCAGCAACAATGTCCCCTCTTCTCTGGCTGGTGGTTGCCTTTTAAACCATTGATCAAAAGTGCTGGGCTGAAGCCTGGCATCCTCCGCCCACAGAACTGCACAGCATAGCCCAGGCAGTGCCACTGCCAGCCTCCTCATGCTGCTCTGCAGCCGCAAGCCCCACCATGTCCTGCAGAGACCAAGTTTTGGTATCAGAATTAGGTGCAAGACACAGGAGGTGACGGTGCCTCTCTACTTGGCACTGGTTAGGTCTCATCTGGAGTGGTGTGCGCAATTCTGGGTTCCACATTTAAAAAAGGATGTGGAGAAGTTAGAGAGGGTCAAGATGCAGGCAACAAAGATGACCAAGGGTTTGGAAGGAAAGCCATACAAGGAAAAGCTGAAGAAGCCAGGCATGTTCAGCTTGTGGAAAAAAAAATGCTTAAGAGGGGACATGATACTTGAAGGGCTGCCATAAAGAGGGTAAACACCTTTTCTCTCTTGCTGCAGAGAGGAGGATGCCAACCAATGGCTTGAAGTTGCAGCAAAGTAAGTTTAGATTGGATATTTGGAAAAATTTCTTACTGCTAGAAGAGTGAGGCAGTGGAAGAGACTGCCTAGGGAAGTTGTGGCTCTCCATCACCGGAGATGTCCAAGAAGAGGTGGGACAGCCACTGGTCGGGGATGATCTAGGCATTGCTGTGCCTATGTTCTACCATGGGTATTTCCCATGCTTCGGGGCTTTGCTGGTTGTTCCCCCCTTCTCTACCTCCTGTTTTCCTGCTACGTGCCAGAGTGTTTTTAAGCTTCCCTCAGAGGCATTGGGTGTTAGCTACAGCCAAGGCTCAGGATTTCAACTGGGGTGTGCTGATTCTCATGCTAGGAGCAGAGCTGGAGGTTCCTGGCTAGAGGGCCTTGCCCCTCCACTCAGGGTCAGACTGATCACCATATTTGGGGTCAGGAAGGAATTTTGCCCCATGATCAGATTAGCATGGACAGTGGGGATTTTTGCCTTCCTCTAGCGGGGGGCATGGCCCTTTGCCTGGGACCTTTTGAGCATATATTGACAATATTTTATAGAAGCAGGACATTGGCTGTTGTGGTTCCCCTATTTTACCTGTGGCAAGTTAGCATGTTAGGTCTATGTTGTGGCAGAGTTGAGGACAGTCTTATGCAGAGTTTAGATTATGGATGTATAGGAGGGTTGGGATGATCCTGCCTCAGGCAGAAGGTTGGACTAGATGACCTCTGAGGTCCCTTCCAGACCTACTTCTCTATGACTGACACCCACTCCCCTCCCCAAACACCGCTGACTAGCTGCAATGGTGGCTTTGAGATAGTCCAGATCCCACCCATTTCCTCCCACACAGGCTACCACCTGACAGCAATGTCTGGCTGCCCTCACCCAGCCCGAGATGTACATCACACAATTGAGTTACTGGGAGAGGAGTGGTAGCACTTTAAAGCACACAAATCCTCCCTGCATGCAAGATCACCCTTAGCAGGGCAGGTGCAAGGCTGACAAAATGAGCCAGTTTGTAATTAGCTCTGCAGCCTCTCCTCCCGGTTCTTTCAAGCTCAGGAACGTGTAGTGATAAGAGCACCTCATGACCAGTGGATGTGATCCCGATGTGCTGTTATGCTGTTGCTCTGGCTGGTGTCACATCTGCTGGCATGGCATGAGGCAATCAGCAGAGGAGGGGACATTACCTCCCAAGCCTCCGACGTTGCCTTTAACTACTGCTTTTCCAGGGAAGCACTTAGTGGGTCTAAAGGTCTGTTGCATATTTATTCTTTTCCCCAAGTATTATTGCAGAGCCTTCCCCAGGAACAAGGGTTACCACACTCCAGAGCCCTGCTATTTATGGCATGGGCCAGAAGTCTATCAGGAAGGGGCTGGCCTAGATGCTGGCTGATACCCTCCGCATATTTCCACTGCACAGCTGAAAACCCAGGCTGTGCTTCACTTGTTTTGCAAGGACTCTTATCAGCCTGGTACACTTGGTCCAGAACAATTGCCCACACCTTTGAAAGGCTCTCTCCTACATTTCAAATTTCTATGTAAACAAGCAAAGCAAAAGTCCCATTAGGACTTTAGGAATGCCATTAGGAAACTGATGCTGTTAATAAAATTGGTTGCTGTTGTGATAAGACACACCAGTTCTTGCTAAGGTCAAGAACCCTGTTTTCCACTTGTAACAGATACTTGCATTCAGATAAGTATTTCTAAGGCACCAGGTAAGATAGTACCTTGATGCTTGTAGAATATTTTCCCATCCGCAGGACCTCCTTATTCTGAGCCATGGGTAGTGCATTTCATTAGATAAACTAATCTGGGATTTTTGCTATGCTACAAAGGAAAAGGCATCTCCCTTAAGGACAGTGAAAGGATCTATTTTCAGACAGCTGTAGGCGCTTTACTGCCTTTAACACATGACATTTCCACAGGGGTTTCAAAAAGTCATGCTGACTTGGAAATAATAAAAAAAAACAAACCCGATCACCGCTTAGTGCTCTGAATGAAGCAGCAGCATCCCCCGGGCAGAAAGCCAGCCCAGAATCAAAGCTGCAGAGTCCTCTCTGCCTTCCAGAGCCCACTGGCACATCCAGTACCTCTTGCTAAGTTCAAAAAAGGCATGGAATCGCATGATGCAGCCTCCCGGCAGGGAAGCATTAGCCAGGTGTGATACAGACCAGGTTCTTCTATAACAAATACAGCAATTCCAACCCTGGGTTAGATTCTCCCCCGCTGCTGGTGGAAGCAGCTCCATAGAAGCGACTCCATGACCCCAGCTATGCTAATTTGCACCACAATGAAGATGCAGCCCATTGTGTGCATACTTTGCATCCTCTGAGGAGACCCTGAACAACAGGTGGTTCCAGAACCAATGCGACCGATTCTGCCTCTGATCCCTTTTGCAAATTGTATCCATGGCCCCAAATGAAAGCTGGGGAGGAAGCACCAACTCTCACTTTGGTATAGAAGTTATTTGTACCTGGGAGGGAGATGGCAAGGTTAGTGCCCGCTACAGCAGGGTAGCTCACTCCTCCACAGCCTTGTTGACACTGAGGAGCTCAAGGGACCCAACCCCATGTAGGTGCCACCACCCCAGCCTGGAATCACTATGAGACTACCTGAGCTGCAGTATGCAGCTCTGGGGCCTGGCAGAGGCTGCGTTCCTGGCAAGGCCATACACTTCTACCCTGTGGGCAGGCTTAGGCCCAGGGGGGCACAAGATGGAGGGCAAGGCCACCACTAGCTGTGAAGACTCAGGATGGCCTGCAAGGACCATGACAGGATGTAGCACTGGGTGTTGGGCAGCTCCACTCCACCTCTGGGTTTAAGCCCCCAAAGTCCCTAGCTGCAGCACCTGCCCTCCCACACAAACATTGTGTCCCTGCTAGGGTGGCCCACAGCACTAGGAGCTGCAGGTGCTCCCCCAGGTCTGGTGCTGACTGGCCAGGGCCAAGGGGTGGCAAGGTAGGGGCACAGAGGTGGCTCAGCAACTCCACAAACCCCTCTGCATTCTGCCAAGGCCCTTCATGCATCCTGCAAGCTTATAGGACTCCAAGCTTTGAGAAACCCAAGTGACTGGTGGCACCTGGGAAAGGACTGCCTTCCAAAAGCCTTTTGTCCTGAAAAGGGCCAGCCTTTCTGGCCCTCTGGCATCTTGGCACCTGCTGCAGGCCAGACAGCAGTGAGAGCCAGCTGGAACAGGAGCCAAGAGCATGCTCTCTGACAGCCTGGTTGCAGAAGGAAAAAAAAACAAAGCAGTGGGGTAATCCCAACCCACAGGCACTAGCGGTTAGGGAGGGAGAAAAGGACCCACAGGACTGCACAAGCAGGGTAGGTCAGAGAGAGAGAGTTTTCTGAGCATATAATGAAAATATAAGATCCCCCCTCTTTCCACTGACTCATGCCTAGCACTGGCACCCAAAACAGGAGAAGATCTGCTAGACTGATCTCAGTACTATGCAGAAAGAAATCTAGGTAAGATAATTTCAAGGGGAGAGGTTCACTGTTGGAGGGCATCACTTCCAGACACCAGGTGAACAGGTGCAAGTTGGGCAGATTATGTGACTTGTAAACACAGCACAGAAGAAAAAACAACACTGACAGTAAGTTGCAGGTGCCATCACTTTAGTTTTTTTCCATCCATTCTGCAGACCTTAAACACAGAACACAGCCAGCAGTTCAATAAAAGGCAGCTCATTTCTGATAAAAATTAATCATCTTGCAACTCATCCTTCACTATGGAGCTATTATCTTTCGTGCACTTCGAGCTGAGTTGTAACGTCTCTCGCACACAGACTGCAAATGTTGTAGTTGGCTGGTTTCATTCAAGTTAGCCATCTGAGTTTAAAGGAACTGTTAAAAATATCACCCAATTTTCCTATGTCCATGAAGGGCGATGCAGCGAATTCCAGTTGGGTTCACCCCTGGGAAGCGGCTCCTTACTCTAGCAACCTGAGGGAGAGTTCACGTGATGCACCAGCCCTGAACCAGCCAACTGCACAAGTGAACTTCAGCTGGTTTCAGCAAAGACCTCAGATACAGCATGCAGTCTCCTTGGCCAGGCCACATAATGGGCATGGGAAGGGTTACTTGTGACTGACATTTCCATGAGCAGATTGCAGCTCTAAGCTGCACCAGGACAGTAGCAAATGTCTGTTAATTTGACTTTAGGATGCCTTAGTGAGCAATAGAAGCAGAATCAAGTATGTACCATTGCTGGAAAATCTTATCATGTTATGTTTTTTTTGGCCACAATTAGATTGGAGAGGGGTTTCTTTAATAACAAATAAATTAAAGAGCCTGTGGTGTTTCAGGTTTAGACTAAACACAAAAAGAAACTAAGATTGATATTAGTATGATTAACATTAGCCTTAACTTTATAATGATCTATTAGATAGCAGAATTTCAGTTTTTACCTCCTGTTTTTAGTAATGGACTATGCAGTCCATCTTAGCTGACTGAAGTTGTAAAATAGTTTACCACTGGAAAACTTATTGGGAGAAAATAACAAAATAGGTCCAGAGAGGAAGTCCACTGGCTGTGACACCAATTCCTATACTGGTATTTTACCTCACAGTTCCTTGGGGACAGGGCAATGAATTTCTACCAAGGTTATCCAGAGTATATATATTAGAGCTTAATTGGATAAGAATTCTGTAATATAGAAACACTTTGCTCCCAAGTTAAGCATTTAAGAGACATTTGCATCTTTAACCAATTATAACACTGGGACTTTTTTTATTATTAAGGCAGGAAAAAAGGCAGCATTCCTTGCCATTGTATGATCAAACTGAAGGATTTACGCATCCCTGAAGCAGGGCATGTTGCATCTTTTCTTTAAAAATGAAAATAAAGAAAAAAGGGTGCAATATAAATTATCATACACAAATGATATCTTTAGAATATGTTCAAAACCCCAAATGTTTTACAGGTAGTAGCTTGATGGCTGTTAACGGATTACAGTTAAAAGAGAGGAGGCCATAGTAAGGTCAGTTTTGGAAGGATAAAGTACTTTTAAGTTTCCATCTATGTCCACAACCCGAACCTGTTCCACTATTAATGGAGTGTTCTCATGATGTACCGTCTGGCTGGGATTGAAATTTGGAGGTCCAGAAATCACATCAGATTCATCGTCGGAGACTGATACTTCTTCCTTATTTTCCAAAGTGAATTTGTTGAGTTCTGCCATTTTCTGGTATAGGAATAAAAGAAATTAAAGATGTCAATGTTCAATGTGAATGCAGATGGCTTACCACTTGCTTAAGGAACCTAAATTATTTCCAAGCAGCAGACCATCAAAAGACTGATGCTGACATGTTTTTTGTAAGAGGGTTTTCATTACAGTAAATCATTCATGCAGTCTCATAAACGTGTACAGAAGACTGCTCTGCAGATCACTTTATTCTGTTTGCATTCCTTCCTGTTACCTTCCTGCTACTCCTGTTCCCAAATCTTGCACAAGCAGGTTTTCAAGTCAGGCTCTGTGTCCTAGCACTTTGGATTTTAAATAAAGACGGCCTGCTCCAGTATCACTCTTAACAACTCTGCTTTCATCATATTTCAAGCTGTCTCTAATACTGCTGTGTATTGACTGTGTGTGTCAATTAACTTGGACTTTAGAACATGTTAATGAGAGTTACTATTGACAAAAACTAACAAAGCTCAGATTTTTATACTACAGAAAGTATAGAGCAGGATGTTAACTTCTATTTGCAAATTTGCCATTTTCAGTAGAATGTACTAAATTTTACTACATTAATTAAAAAAGACACCCATCAGAGTAAGGCACATGTGAAAAGTGGTTTCATGAAGCCAGCCTAGCTCCTCCTGCAGATTTGTCTATCACTATAAATCCACTTGCATATTTGGAACACCTTAGCCTGATTTGCTGAAAAGACTTAGAAATGTGAGTATAAAGCTCTTGCCACACTAAGTTGCTGAAAAGAGATGCAAGACACATTATGCTTGATTTTGGTCACTTATTAACTGAAGATGCCTCGAAGCTGAACTGTTAAAACCTCCACAGAAGAATGAGTCCAGTAATAAGACTATGCTACAAATCACTGGCTTGGGGATTTTAATTATTGTAACGTCGACATGCCCATCTC